AAATGTTAGTCCTAAGTGAGTATGGTGTTCATGTTGTGCAGTCGGAGTATTGTTAAATAGAAGTTGAGGATGATTGTTAATGTGTCTACGAGAGAAGTTAATAGCTACAGTCTTATTCGGATTGAATAGGATCTGCCATCACTTTGACCATTCAGAGATTGAGTCATGATCATCATTAAGCATGTTAGTAGGTGTTGTAAGGTCATTGTTATTATTTACTATTACATAGAGAGAGGTATCATCTGCAAAGAGTTTTATATGAGAAGTTACATTATTAGTAATATCATTAATAAAAAGAAGAAAGAGGAAGGGACCAAGGACAGATCCTTGAGGAACCCCTGCAGACATAGGTTTGGTACTAGATTTATAACCTTCAAAGATAACCCTTTGTTTTCTGTCAGATAAGTAAGCTTTAAACCAATTATATAATTTACCTTTAATACCATATGTTTTTAGTTTATATAATAGGCCCAAATGCCATACTCGATCAAATGCTTTACTTATGTCACAGAAAACAAAACGCAAATCTTTACCTTGGTCTAAATTGCCACTTATAGTATTATAGATATCAGTTAGTTGATTAGTAGTGGAGTCTTTGGGTTGAAATCCTGACTGATGTACACTTAGCATATTGTGACTTGAAATATAATTAAACATATATTTAAAAATATTTTTTTCTAACATTTTGATATTTCTAATAGCAATAGGTCTATAATTATTGAGATCACTGATATCTCCTTTACCTTTATAGAGAGCAGTAACATTAGCCGTTTTTAGTACATCAGGTATTACTCCAATAGATAAAGTTCTATTAAATAATAGTTTGAGTGGGTATACTAAAGAAGAAGAAATGTTCTTTACAATCATAGGTAAAATACCATCAGGACCAGCTGGTTTGTTTTTATTAAAAATGTCAAATTGGTCAGTTATATCTTGTTCAGTAATGTTAATGTCAGAAAGTTCAAATGGACATAAGGGAGGTAAATCAGGTAGGTTAGTGTCAGTAATATCAGAGGCAATGGTGGTAAAGAAGTTATTTAGTGCCTCAGCTTTATCTTGTGGATGGATTAATATTTTATTGTTAGATTTTAGAGGATAAGAATTAGTGCTAGTGTTATTCATTTTTCCTATAGATTTTGCTATCTGCCACCATTTTCTTGGATGCACTGTTTTGTCGGCAAGACAATTTTGAAGTTTCTTTAAGTAAGTTTCTTTGGATTGCCGAATAATTTGTATAGTGTCATTGCGACAAGTTCTAAATTTTGCCCAATCTTTTCCCCTATTTTTATTTTTAGCTATTTTATGTAATCTATTCTTACATCTTAATTTATGCCAAATTTCACCAGTCATCCAAGGTTTATCATCAGGATGGACAGTACCAGACCTGCTAACCTTTGAATCTCCCAATGGGGGTCATGATCCCCATTGGGAAATTCTGTGGGGGGTGATAACGCGTGAACGAAATTTGTGTGGAAATACTGTCAGTAATTGTTTTATGAGGTACATGGGAGTTAGTAGCAGTGTTTATTTTGTTTATAACAGTAGAATATAGTTCATTAATGCTAGTAGTGTTATTAACTATGGAATCCCAATCATTACTAAGTAGTTCATTATTAATAGCATCCCAATTAGCTTCATTGAACTTAAATTCCTTAATTCCTGAGATTTACAAAATTTACAGGCATTCTTAAAAGTAATAAATAAATAAAATTTAACATAATGCAGCCTAAGGAAGCTTTATAGAACTAAATCCTAAATACCACTACAACAAGTGATTATAGCTCATGGAGATGAAGATTCATATGTGTGTGTGTGTGGGGGGTGTGTGTGTGTGTGTACGTTACATGCTCTCAATCTACATACATGTTTCATGCCCTCACTCAATCTGCATACATGTTACATGCTCTCAATCTACATACATGTTACATGCTCTCACTCAATCTAAAAACATGTTACATGCCCCCACTCAATCTACATACATGTTACATGCTCTCAATCTACAAACATGTTACATGCTCTTACTCAATCTACATACATGCTACATGCTCTTAATCTAAATACATGTTACATGCTCTTAATCTACAAACATGTTCCATTCTCTTAATTTACATTCATGTTACATGCTCTCACTCAATCTACATACATGTTACATGCTCTCACTCAATCTAACAACATGTTACATGCCCTCACTCAATCTGCATACATATTACATGCTCTTAATCTACAAACATGTTACATGCTCTCACTCAATCTACATACATGTTTCATTCTCTTAATTTACATTCATGTTACATGCTCTCACTCAATCTACATACATGTTACATGCTCTCACTCAATCTTAATACATGTTACATGCTCTCACTCAATCTAAAAACATGTTACATGCCCTCACTCAATCTACATACATGTTACATTCTCTCAATCTACATACATGTTACATGCAGTCAATCTACATACATGTTACATGCTGTCAATCTACATACATGTTACATGCTGTCAATCTACATACATGTTACATGCTCTCAATCTACATACATGTTACATGCTTTCACTCCATCTACATACATGTTACATGCTCTCAATCTACATACATGTGACATGCTCTCACTCAATCTACATACATGTTACATGCTCTCAATCTACATACATGTTACATGCTCTCAATCTACATACATGTTACATGCTGTCAATCTACATACATGTTACATGCTGTCAATCTACATACATGTTACATGCTGTCAATCTACATACATGTTACATGCTCTCAATCTCCATACATGTTACATGCTCTCAATCTACATACATGTGACATGCTCTCACTCAATCTACATACATGTTACATGCTCTCAATCTACAAACATGTTACATGCTCTTACTCAATCTACATACATGTTACTTGCTCTTAATCTACATACATGTTTCATTCTCTTAATTTACATTCATGTTACATGCTTTCACTCAATCTACATACATGTTACATGCTCTCACTCAATCTTAATACATGTTACATGCTCTCACTCAATCTACATACATGTTACATGCTCTCAAACTACATACATATTACATGCTCTCACTCAATCTACATACATGTTACATGCTCTCAAACTACATACATTTCACATGCTCTCACTCAATCTACATACATGTTACATGCTCTCAAACTACATACATATCACATGCTCTCACTCAATCTACATGTTACATGCTCTCAAACTACATACATATTACATGCTCTCACTCAATCTACATACATGTTACATGCTCTCAAACTACATACATATTACATGCTCTCACTCAATCTACATACATGTTACATGCTCTCAAACTACATACATTTCACATGCTCTCACTCAATCTACATACATGTTACATGCTCTCAAACTACATACATATCACATGCTCTCACTCAATCTACATGTTACATGCTCTAAAACTACATACATATTACATGCTCTCACTCAATCTACATGTTACATGCTCTCAAACTACATACATATTACATGCTCTCACTCAATCTACATACATGTAACATGCTCTCAATCTAAATACATGTGGGACACATAAACTACAGCTGTACATCAACCCTTAATATGAGGAAAATCAACAAATACAGAAATACACATTTCTACTTGAAGCATACACCATAAAAGGAGGATTTAAGAAACATCTGATCTCAGGACCAAGCAAAGCTTAAGGTTTACTTTTGTTCATTTGCTAACACATCGAAAAAGTCCATAGTTTTGATAGTATATTATTCCTACCAGGAATCCTTTTAAAACGAAGAAATTGAGAATTTGATCATGCACAACCTTTATGTACTTTAAAGGTTGCTTGAGTAAAATCAGTTAGAATCTTCAAGTGTAATCATTTAAAGTGTAGGTTAATAATATGTAGCCTACATAGTGAGTTGCTTTTTATCAAGTCTGTTTAAATATAATGTACCTGAATGGTTGTTCATAGCACCATGAACATATTTAGGAGTCATTAGTGCAAGTTATCATTTTTTTTTAGAAATATCTAGAGCATCATATTGATTTTTTGTGTCAAGATAATGATTTTATTTTGTATACAAAATGTTTTAAATTTTTGATACCGGTGACTGTACGGTGTAGAAGTCATTTCCTTCCCAGTGTAGAAGTCATTTCCTTCCCCGTCTGAAAGTTTCCCCGGGGAAAAAATCAGCTAGCTAGTTCTTTCCCCGGGGATTGACAAGAATCAGCTTGCCAATAGTTTCCCCCCTGGTTACTGATTATTGACACAGAGATGGGGAAGGAATCAGCTTGCCAATAGTTTCCCCCTAGTTACTAATACAGAGATGGGGAAGGAATCAGCTAGCCAATAGTTTCCCCCTAGTTACTAATACAGAGTGGGGAACGATCAGATAGCCAATAGTTTTCCCCTTAGTTACCTATAAAGAGAAGGGGGAAAGAATCAGCTAGCCATTAGATTCCCCTTAGTTACTTATACAAAAGGGGAAAGAATCAGCTAGCCAATGGTCCCCCACCTCCTGGTTACTAATACAGAGAGAGTGAAGAATCAGCCAGCCAATAGTTCCCTCCCCCATCCACCAACAAATCAATGCCAAGGGGGTAGAGAACCAGCCAGCCAGTAGTTCCCCCCTCGTGAAAAAAATAAATATTAGGAGGAAAATCTGCAATCTAATAGTTTGCTCCTCCCTAAAAATCAATACAAAAAAAATAAAGAGAGGGAAAAAATCAGCTAGCTATTTTCACTGTAAGGGGGAAAATTGGCTAGTTGTTATTTTCCCCAGGGGGAAAAAATCGACAGCTAGCTAATTTCTTCCCCCCGGAGAAAGAATCCGGGGAAAAAACTATCTTGTGGGGGAAAGAATCAGCTAGCTGATTTTTTCCCCGGGGAAGATATCAGCTAGAAGAAGTGGCTGTTATCAAATATTTACTTTAACATGCTAATCAGTCTTGCAGGAACAAGATAACAACCTGCTAAATATAGAAACTTTTAACATAACTATATCATGATCTGAATTGTTATTTATAAAACAGTTATATACCAGGATATAGGTAGCACAGCTTGTTGACAAGTAGACTGCACAGTCTACCATTGGGACCTAGAACAAGAAATTCAGCTAGGTATTTAAATATACGTGAGGAGGGAGGATTACATCAGACATGGAGGTTTACATCTAACAGAGAGGGTAACATTGATAAATTTTCGGTGTCCAACTTTTTCATTTATGCGACAATGATGTTTCTTTGTGTTACAAAATTATTTTACATTGAATAAAAGTTATTCAATTATTTTCTTTTATTTCAGGATCTTCACTCAACAGTATGAATGGTGTTTCTGGTCAATGTGTCATCAGTGATACATCTAATGGCGAAGCTAATGGTGTCACATCTAATGGCCAAGCTAATGGTGTCGGTAAACAGAAGGGGATTAGCCACAAAGCTAATGGGCATAACTCTACAAAAAATGAGCATGGTTTTCTGCAAGCTCTGGTAGACGTCATGATTTCTAAAGTGCTTGAAGAATCCACAAATAGAGACAGTAGAGTGGTTGAATTCAAACATCCAAAGGTGCTAGAAAAGCTGATGGATCTATCACTTAACAAATCTACATCTGACGAACGTTTGATGGAGATCTGCCATGATGTCATCAGATACAGCGTTAAAACTGGTGTGTATACTCACATTATATGCCTAGTTTAAGAATTCACACCATCGTTGATTTTGCTGACCAAGTTGGGTTTTTTCAAGATAAATGATCGATTTATGTCATTGAAAGCATGCTGTTTCTTGTTCTTTTGATTTTTATTATAAGTATTTTTTATAATCTTTGTAATAGAGAATCAATAATATTTGTGAGTGATAATGCTAGATTCGATAAAAGTTAATGCCAAAGTCTTTATAAGTTCTCATTTGTTACTATATTATTTCTACATCTGTTTAAAGGGAAGAGACAAATTTCTTAAAAAGTATTTTCAAAGACCTATTTGATAAAAAAATTACCTAGAATGCCATAGTTTGAGCTCTTCAACGTAATGATTTAATTGAATTTGAGCAGAAAGCAGTTATTCTGTTAGTTTCAACTTTGAAAATTGAAGGTGAAAAGTTAAGTCTCTCTCCAAAATGTAAGAAAATATATAAAGGAATTAAGTATGACAGTTATCTGTTCTGACAGATGCTACGTTTCTTGTGTTAATCAACTATAAAGTGACTTCTTTGTTACACAGATGTTGTAGACTATTCTAGTAGTTACATGTATGTAATGATAAGGGCCCTGTATCGGAGATTTGAATGCCCTATATCAATCGCGGTGTCTGTCTGTCTGCTTGTTCACACTTTTGCTTTTGGAGATTATCTTGGAATCCAAAATTCTAGTCTTACTGAAATTTGACAAGGTGATACTCTGTGCTATAAATGTAGGTGTGCAAGAGGATTTAAAATGTTTCTAAGGTCAAGGTCAAGGTCATTGTTCCTAAAAATAGATCATGTAGGGTACAGTCCTTATCTGAGAATCCGAAGGTCAAATCTTTTTGCAATTTGACATGGTGATCCACTGTGATATGAAGATATGCAATAGGGATTTAATAACTAATAAAATATTTTGGGGGTACAGTCTTTTTCTTGTTACTAAAATAAGATCATGGGGAGGGTTGACAAGTTTATAAGGTCAAGTTCAAGGTTACTTTTACTAAAATAGATCAGGGGATGGTGAGGAGGGGGTGGAAGGGGGGACAGTCGGGCACATGTTGGGCCCTTGCTGACCTGTCAGTGTTCTAGTTTAATATCAGATTTACACATATGTAAATGGACTGCAAAGTTACACATTTGCAAATATTTCAGTTTACATACCACACACAGTAATATTCATTAATTAGTACCTATCAACTGTATTACCTCCAGTATTTAAATCTAAATTAATTAACTTATAAAAACTCACTGTGATCGATTTACTGTTCATTTCTATTTTATCAAATGAATTCTGCTGCAATAAGGAATGAAGATTTTTTTTGCAGGACATATTTTTGTGATTTGTTTTCAATTTAGGTCATCCTAGATTCTTCAATCAGCTGTTTGGAGGGTTAGATCAGTACAGTTTGGGTGGAGCGTGGCTGACAGAAACTCTCAACACTAGTCAGTATGTACTGGTGATTCAGTTCATTTTGATGACCAGCTAATATATTTAATTCGTGCTAAAATAATGACATCATCCTGATCAATCAACCATTTTGAGATGTCTAGCATCAGACGATGTACTCGTTAAATCATTCATCACCTGTCCATTGTCTGTTGTCCATTCTAAACAATTCTTGTTACATTTATTAGCTCACCTGGCCCGTCGTCCGTCGTCAACATTTTACTTTAAACAACTTATTCTCAGTAACCAAAAGGCCTAGGGTAATGATATTTGGCCAGAAGCATGCTGGGATGAAGGGCTACCAAGTTTGCTCAAATAAATGACCTTCATTCATTTTTAAGGTCACATGGGTCAAATATGTTAAATTCTTTAAACAACTTCTTCTGAATAATCAAGAGGCATAGTGTGATGATATTTGACCAGTAACATGTTGGGATGAAGGGCTACCAATTTTGTTGAAATAAATGACCTTGATTTATATTCAAGGTCACATGGGTCAAATATGATTAAAACCTTTCAACAACTTCTTCTGAATAACCGATAGGCCTAGGGTGATGATATTTGGCCAGAAGCATGCTGGGATGAAGGGCTACTAAGTTTGTTGAAATAAATGACCTTGATTTATATTCAAGGTCACATGGGTCAAATATGATTAAATCCTTTCACCAACTTCTTCTGAATAACCAAGAGGCCTAGGGTGATGATATCATGCTGGGATAAAGGGCTACCAAGTTTGTTCAAATGAATGACCTTGACCCACTTTCAACCTAATGTCATTGTTTGACATTTAAGGTCACACTGATATTCTGCCTGTAGCTGTATTTTAGTCCACTTTAAAGATTACAAGTTTGAGATTAATACCAGGGAGCGATGCAGGCCCATTGGGCCTCTTGTTGCTATTTCATGTATAGGTTCATTTGGTCCTTAATTGTGCATGTTAAATTTCTGACTGATTTGAAGAATTCTGACTGATTTGAAGAACAAGGTGGTTGCAAGGTGGTTATCTTTTGTTGTAGCAGGTTAAGTTTGTTATCACTATTAAAAAATAAAAAGTACTACACCGATCTTTCTGAAATTGTATAGGTAGGTTCCCCTTGGTCCTTATTTGTACCTGTTGTATTTTGAGACAGATATTGAAAGAGCAAGATGATTGTGAGTTGTCCATCTTGGATTTTGATAGGTACTATAGTAAATTGCTATTTCGGAAGAAGTAATGAAAAGATTATTTTAAATTACATAGATAGGTTCCCTTGGTCCTTCATTGTGCATATTTCATTTTGAAACTGATTAGAAAAACCAGATTATGGCAAGGCAGCCATTTTGACTTGACAGTTTAAGATTGTTATGGTGATTTCTCAAGAGATACAGGAAGTTAAGACTGAATTAAAGAGCAGGATGACAGCTGGAAGGTGCCTACTTGTAGATTGATCATTTAAACTTGTTATAGCTATAATTTCTCAGAAACTACAAGAGAGGAAGGTTTTCTCAAATTCTATAGACTGGTCCACCTTTATCTCTATTTGTACCTCATTAGAAACTGATTCCCATTCTTAGTGTAAGGTGTAATTATGTTAAACGAAATCGTACCAGCTAGAGTACACTGCTTGCTGAACACTTTGATATTTTATACGATGTATTTATATTCTTCCATACCCTCCTTGCTAAATTAGGTATTTTAAACTGCTTACCATATATATCCAATGTTTAATCAATACCTGTATACTAGGTATACATTATTAGCTCACCTGGTCCGAAGGACCAAGGTGAGCTTATGCCATACCGTGGGGGCTGAGGGGCAGGGCCAAAAGGGGTCAATTTGGCTATATTGCTACAAACGATTTCTTCTGTAGAACTATGCACTGGATATCAATCATATTTGATCAAAAGCATTTCTGGGAGGTAGGGATTAAAAATTGTACAAATGGTGTGGCTGACCCCCCAGGGGGCTGAGGGGCAGGGCCAAAAAGGGTATTTGGCTATACTGCTTTAGGCGACTTCTTCTCTGGAACTAAGAAGTGGATATCAACCATATTTGACTGGAAGCATCCCTAGGTGGTGGTGATTAAAAATTGTACAAATGGTGGGGCTGACTCCCCAGGGGGCTTAGGGGCGTGGCCAAAAGGGGGCCATTTGGCTATATTGCTACAAACGACTTCTTCTGTAGAACTGTGCACTGGATATCAATCA